ATGCCGCTTTATTTTATTTTATACTTACATATTTAATAAGTTTGCAGATTATATAGTATAGCGATCTCAAAATATATAGATTAACTCAAGTGCTACAACAAATGTGTAAATATTTGATGAATTGGATTCTAAAAGAATTATGGAAAATATGCAAATTCTAACCAATATAATACTTCTGAAGCTTGATGTCAAACGTGTAACTCTTAACAAACAGAAACAAAGATATTGATACTATATTAAAAGGTTTTAACTTAGAATTATGGAACATGGAGATGAATCGAATGGATCCTTTTAGTAGATTAGATAACATTCAAAAAAATGGAGACAAGTCCTTGGCAAGGTGGTTAGATGGCGTATGAATAATCACACATAGGATGATGGTTACATACATTATGTAGAGATGAGCGATTACTTAGAATTAACTAGAATCTCGCTAAATTATTATTTTTGTGTCAATGAACGAACGATTGATTACAAGCGAATTTTTTTTTTTTTTACATGTAAAATTATCCAATAATTATGTAATAAATGTAATTTATTTTATTTATTTACAAAAAATAAAACTGTCTAGTGTTACATTAAAAAATAAATACTTTTTTTTTATTGATTAAATTATTTAATTTATCAAATTATATTGAAAAAAAATATATTAATGCTAAATATTTAAAAATCTTTCAAGAGCCATAGAATAAGCTTGCTCCACTCTTGGTAATGCTTGCTTATCTTTTCGAAGCACTTCTAATATATCATCTTCATCCGATATCTTCTGATCTCGTGGACTATCATCATCGGCATCAATAAATTCCTTTAAATTTGACTTCTTAGTATCTAATTTACTTAATCGTGAAAGAAGAGATGAAACATTATTTCATATACCCAATTTAAGAATATTTTCACAATAAAGGCATTTTTTATTTAATGAAATAGTGAAACAGCTCTCATAGTATCCATGACCACATGCGATAACCATAGAGCTTTTACCTGTCTCATCGTGTAATAGCTTATGACAATGATCGCATTTGTCATATGCTGGCAAATGCTTACTGCTGAATCCTAATGGCATTAGCTTTTTGTTCACAATAAAGTCTAATGACGCCAGCTTATAGATAATTTTTTTATTCCAACCCTTGATGATAGAGCTT